ACCCCCTAGAGCTGGAGTTACAGGTGGTTGTGAACTGCCTAAAGTGGGTGCTGGGAACTGAACTCAGTCTTCTGAAAGAGCAGCACACATTCTTAACCACTGAGCCATCTCTCTAAGCCCTCTGTTTTTCTTTCTAGAGAGCATTTGTCAGGGGAAGAATGATAGTTCCTCATCATTACAATAACTGTCACCCATCCAGTGCCCACTTATCATACACAGGACTTATCAGTAGCACCAGCTTATGACCTAAATCCCCCTACTTCTAATGATGTCTTTGTTCCTGAATCTCTTTTTCTTTCCTAGGGCATCTCAAAGTCTGTCTTTTCATGTATAATATTACAGGAGAGGTTTTGAAGGTGAGGCAGAACTAAATGTATCTGATACAAAAACAAAAAACAAAACAAAAACACAAAAACAAAACAAAATCCTGCTTTCCCTGCATGGTTAAATCCCCCAGAAAGCTTGTGATCTAACAGGCAGTTCAAATTCCACTGATGTTGATCCTCTTAGATTCCAGTTGGGGAAATACTTTGTGTTGTTGACAATAACAAAGGACACAAGTAGATCTTTAGGCCTCTCTTTGTTTTATTTTACTTTTCCTTTTGTTTTTTTCAATTTTCATGTATGTGGTGTGCATATGAATGTATGCATATTTTGAATGTGTGTGGGCACTTTGTGTGTGTGCACCTGTGTACATGTCTGTGTGTGCATTTGGAGACCTGAGATTGATGTCAGAAATCAACCTCTTTCACTTTTCCAAATTCATTAAGGCAGGGGCTCTCAGTCAAACCCAGAGCATACTATGGGCTAGTCTCATCAGCCAGCTTGCTCTGGGATCCCCTGTGTCTGCCTTCTGAGGCTGGAATTACAGGTGATGATTTTCACACTTGCATAGCAAGCACTTAACCACTGAGCCATCTCTCCATTTATTTTGAAAACAGTCATGCTACGTCCTGACTGGCCTGGTGCTCATGGGAGGGTGGCAGGTACTTTTCAGGGCTCCCCAACACCCTTCTGTCCACAGGCCTAACTTTCCTACCACTCAATGTGTCAATGTGACATCACATGTAGTAATGTGTCATCACGCCTAGTAAAGTTTGACATCATGTCCAGAACATTCCTAGCCAGTGATCTCTAAAGCATCCTTTGCCTGTTTAAACCCAAATTCAGAAGAGTCAGAGATGGCGTTGTAAAACAGAGGCAGCTGGGTCTGTGGTGTAGGCACCGCTGAGGACTTTACTGTAAGTGGCTTCCTGACACTTATTCCCCACTAACTTCACCTCCCACTCACGTTTTACCTCCTGATAATAGTCGTCCTGAGGGGCCAAAGCTGGGGGAGGCCGCCCTGCCGGGTAGGAGCCAGTTAAGGCCCAGGCCAGAGCCTGCTGAGCTCCTCGGCCAGCTTCCAGCTCCCTGCTCACCCTCAGGCTGCTGGATGCACTTCAAACAGAGGCTCTGTGAGTGAAGAAAACACAGATAAAGACAGCAGAATGATAAAGAGGCTACAAATTTAGAAAACAAGTTTTCTGGCACTATCCATGACCATTGTTTTCAAATATGCATGTGGAGTGCAACCAGTTTTTATTTTTTTTAAAGAACTTTGAAAGGGTTGTGCAATCCATGACACCCTCACACTCCAGGTTTGGTGTTAAAGGCTGTCAGCAGACTTGGCAAGACGTTTCAGTGAGTAAAGGTGCTTGCTGTCAAGCCTGATAACCTGAGTTCAATCCCAGGCCCCATAGAGTGGAAAGAGAGAACAGACTCCTGCAAGTTGTCCTTTGACCATCACATGCATGTCATGGCAGACATGCACATGCACACACATAAAATAATTAATAGACATAATAAAGAAGGGGAAAGCTATCAGGGGCAGGGGTTGATGAATGGGAATGGACTAGTCTCAGAGCCCTTGTTCTGGCCAATGGCCCCATT